AGACATGAAATTGAAGCCCTGAATAAATAGCGTATTTCACCAGAGGAAAGGGATGTTAGTCCTGGTCTTCTGGCCATCTTCCAGCTTGGGTAATTACATTTCCACCTAGCTAAAATTCCCTCTGCTCTACAGTTTTAATTGGACAGTAGTTTCTTTCTTGCTTGTCTAAAATCCCAGGTTAGAGTCAAACTCCCACTGGTTAATTCAGCAGCCCTATTTTCAGTAGATCTGCACAGGCGTTTCCAAAAACATTCTCATTTTGTTGTTGAACTTAGGAGGCATCATACCAAGTGGCCTGATCTGACAGAGCCCAAAGCAAAGAAATCCTCCTTTGGCTTCTAGGCCCTGAAGTCGAGGATCCTCAGGTGGAAATACTGCCCTGAAAACTTGTTGAAGATCTGCATCCTCCCAGCTCTGCTTTGCAAGTTAAAAGGGAGTGCTAAGGCAAGATTTCCAAAACAAACAACCCAATTCACATGGTGACCCTTAAGAAGGTAGCCTGATTGCACAAATGAAAAGTATCCAATAGCACATATTCATTTAAGCGTCTTGACTGGTGTGCATGGATGACATTTTGGAAGCACTAGGATCTGCACATTTAGATCTCTCATACACAAGAGCTTTAGTCACTAGAACTTCAATATAACAAGCGTTTTCTAAAAATATTTTTGGCTGAAATCTTCTAACCAGTTCCATTTGAACTAAGATATAAAAGTCCACCTGCATGAGAGAGACGCCCTTGCAGCAGAGTACTTAAGTGTATGCCATGGTACAGACATGAAGAAAAAAGTGAAACTTAATTAAATAGCTTTGGCAAATTGGGTCCAAGCTCATCCATTTTTGAATAAAAATATGTATAACCATCTGTAGGAGCCAGTAATCTACTGGGTCAGAGGAGAATGAGAGAGTTGATAGGATAAGAAAATTCAGGCAAATATTCTGCAAGGAAACATCTTCACAAAACTTTTCAAGTTAATGTTGGTTTAGGGAGAGGCAGCTTTCCCTGATGCTGTGAAATATTATTTGGTCTCTTGAAAAGTTTTTGCTTAATTTGTGTATACACTCCATTTGGAAGACCATAACTAATGTGAAACAGTCCCAGCAACCAGCAAAAGATTTGTTTTCCTTTGCCTCTAAATAAAATATCAATGAATGGCTATTTTATTTTTAGTTGAATATGAAATTTCACAAGCAACCTGTCAAGCTCCCATTTTCAAGAATGACTTTATTTCACATGTCAAGACAGGCTGGGAAATTAGTTTTTCCCACAGAGGACTCTGGTTAGGGATTACAAAGTGAGTGAGGTGCAGAGTGATTTTTTCTCCATCTTTTCCCTCCCCCTGCCAGTCTAGAAAGAGCATCTGACTCTGCTGACTGGGGGGAGCAATTCATTACTGTGCATGGGAGGAGGACGGGAAGCAAGATAGTCATATTGAGTAACTTGCCGGCCCAAGAGAGAATAGGCAAAGCATAATAATGTGTAGCCTTTATATTTTTATTTTCATTAGTGGATATCAGTGCACTTGAAAAAGGAGGTTGATTTGATGAGAAAAGAGATAAATGCCAGTTCCAAGTACCCTATTGCAGAGGCACCAGCAG